GTAAGCTTCCAACGGAAATTCTTGTGGAACCAAGAAACGAGCTCGAAGAGCTTTCCGTAATGGCAGAGGGTCCGATGATGTCGAGGCGTAACGATCGAGTTAACACGTCCTTCGCTTTCAAAGCGGGATCTGCCGGGTGGAAGTCATATTCCACACGAAGGTCAATGACCGGCTGTGAATGGGCGCGCATCATGGCCGCCTTACGGGCAGCTTCCAGCTGTCGCTTCTGTGCCTCATCGCGGTTATTGGTGATGACACCACGTCCCACAGGTGATGAGAGGTCAAGAAACGGACATGGGGTCCGCAAGGCGCGAGCCGGGGTCGTCTCACGCCGCTGGTGCGGCTCGCCTTCCTCGTCATCCCTCCCGGTAAACTCGTAGTCGACCACCTGCACATCCTCAACGAGGTCACTCGTCACTGATAGCGTACGCGGAGCGCGACGCTCAGGCTCATCGAGCCTAGGATTTACATCCATCGATGCCGTAGAGACACGGTCCGACATGGCAACGCGTGCGGGAGACGAAGTTCGACTCTGCCCGTGTGCGCTATCAGAACCAGCGAGACTTGGTGACTTCAGTTTCGTTGGCACAGGGCTCATTGAGCGCGGAATTCTTTCGTTCCAACGAACCAAGTTGCAGTGTCTTGTGGACACGCAAGCCTCGTTGAGGCAATAATAGATTGAAACTGTAAATGTTCACAATCTTAATGAGGAGAGTGTGACGAGGTTACACATACCCTGGTAAAAGGCGTGTGTGTCACACGAGATGGGCATGGTGTGACTGCACCCAAATAAGACTACGGTACGTGGCAGTAGTTATGCATGTATTTAGATTTTACTATGTATATTTGGGAAAAGCTATACATTTAAATTTAGGCGGCTTTGCCGCAGATACAAATAAAGTCAGTTTGAACTTAAACAGAAGAGTTTATTAGCTTTGGGTTAGGGTACTAACTACTCTTGGCGGTAGCGGATTGCGATTCGCTACACTCGTACTGATTCTTGTGAAGAAAGTAAGGTCGATGACCTAAATTAAGCTTTCTTCAAGCGCAAAGCTACGGCAGCCCCGCTCCAGCTACCATAATCTGCTGAACTGATCGAAATATAAGTTTTAAAGTAGTGAGCGTTTAAGGCCCCACTTTAGCAGGTTTGACCTGGCTCCATTGCTAGCTACAACTTGGTGCACTCCTAACTCTTTTCTGACCCCTTCAGAGGAGATAGGGCCATCTAAACCAGCACGGTTCCCACGAGCGAGTATGGGACCGAAGAAGACGCTTGGTCTGCATTAGCAGCGGTCTCGTGAATATAAGCGGACTCTTAGCAACAAGTACTGGCTGTGATGGCTTTCAACCCCGACGTCCGCGTCGTGCTTCGAGCTTCGCAATGTCAAACTTTGATTGATGCTCTAGTAGGACGCTCGTACTAAAGCTGCTGTGTAGGTGTGAGACGGGCGAGGCGGCAGGCTTTTCCCATCCAGTGTGGGAATTGATTACAAATTATCTTGATTATCTCGTCAGCACTTACAGTTCAGGGTACAATCTTACAAAGGGTTCGGATTTCTCTATCGATGCTGCTCTAAGCGCCGTCAGCACTCTTTCGGAACGAGGACTTGAGGAATTTGATAGCACTCGCGGAGCGACAGTCTGATCCCAACATTTTTTGCTATCAGTGCGTGTGCGTAACAAGCATCATTCAATGGTTTAAAGCTATAAATAGTGATATGCACACCGTCTGCATGTCAGCCAATTTATTCGAGGATTTTTCGTTTTTCGGCGATGTTTTTGGGCGCCCGTTGGCAAGGCAAGATTTGAATGAAGTAAATGAGAATGTGTAATGGCGTGAGGTAGTCAGCTAACGTTTTAGTGAGAGGTATTAGGAAAAATCTGAAGGTCTTGGTAGCCAATATCTTCTTCGGCTAATGACTAGTTTCTGCCTGTAAATTATACTCGCCCATCAATACCGACCCTCACGACATGCCTGATAGTCACTATCGCCTCAGATACCTTGACACAAAAAAGTACGGCTTGAATGGGCATCAATTTGTCGTCGCACTTTGTGTATGTCATGTATCAGTACATAAATAACAAATCGTATGTAACGATAATACTGGTGCCTTTTCTACTTAAGATGGCTAGCGCTACCAAGAAGCGCGTGTCGTACTTCTATCACCGTGCGTCAAACAATAATTCACGATATATCTGCTTAATACGTTAATATCCACCCCATGTCTGATCTCGTATAGCCGAGGAAGGACATTTCTACTATGGTCCAGGCCATCCCATGAAGCCTCACCGCATGAAGTTGGCGCACCACCTGGTCGTCAACTACGATCTGTATCGCAAGATGGACATCTTTGTAAGTGATAGAACATTGTGCAATATTTACTTTGTAATATTAAAAAAACGATTTGACCCTGTGTTGTCATTAAAGGAGCCACACATTGCGTCGGCTGAAGAGATCAAAACCTTTCACGCACCTGATTATATCGACTTTTTGCAGAAGATTAGTCCTAGTAATCAAAAAGAATTGGCCTCTGAGCTGCAAAAATGTACGGTACTTTAAGAGTATGAGGCGGAAATATTTACGTATGCGGTCCTTATATATGTAGACAACTTGGGCGAGCTGACGGATTGTCCCGTTTTCGACGGCATTTTTGACTTTTGCCAGATTTACTCTGGCGGCACACTGGACGCTGTGAGCCGCTTGAACCATGGACAGTGCGATATTGCGATCAATTGGGCAGGAGGTCTTCATCATGCTAAGAAGTCCGAAGGCTCAGGATTTTGCTACGTGAACGATATTGTGCTAGGCATTTTGGAGCTGCTCAAATACCATCCGCGCGTGCTTTACATTGACATTGATGTGCATCATGGAGATGGCGTGGAGGAAGCTTTTTATGTCACAGATCGAGTCATGACTGTTTCTTTTCACAAATATGGAGACTTCTTTCCGGGAACGGGAGATATTAAGGTATAGACTTCAACCGGTAATGTCTGCTAATGAAGCTAATCTTACTAAACGGTCAGGATATCGGCGCCAAAAATGGAAAGTATTACGCAGTCAACTTCCCCTTGCTTAGCGGCATGAACGACGAGAGTTACGAAAGTGTGTTTAAACCGGTTATCCAGAAGGTAATGGAGACGTTTTGTCCATCTGCTGTTGTGCTGCAATGTGGTGCGGATTCGCTAACAGGAGATCGCCTAGGATGTTTCAACGTGACTACAAAAGGTTTGCACGCTGACACTAGTCGACGGTATTTTTGCATTTATTTATCTTTCACTGTTGCTAAGGCCACGGAGAATGTGTAAGATTCGTGAAAAGTTTTGGCCTGCCAATGCTAGTGCTCGGAGGTGGTGGGTATACAATTCGCAATGTATCACGAGCGTGGGCATACGAAACGTCGATTTTGCTCGACGAAGAAGTGTCCAATAACATTCCATACAATGATTACTTCGAGTTCTACGCCCCAAATTTTAAGCTTCACTTAGAACCTGATCCCGATCTTGAGAACGCCAATTCTAGAGAATATTTGGACGAGTGCAAGTACGTGATTTAATGGTACTAATCGCAACTGTCTTTACTTAAGCTTGCCTACCATTTAGGCAAAAAATATTTGAAAATCTTAGTGCGCTTACTGGAGCTCCAAGCATTCAGATGAATCAAGCACCTCCAGTTTATATGTTGCGTGAAGAGGATGAAGATGCAGCAGACCCGGACTCACGTGCCGAAAATGATGGTAAACGACAGCATGAAGCAGAATTTTATAAAGACGACAAGGACCAGCGAGGAAATGCAGAAGTCGAAGCTGATACCAGCGACAATGCAAAAAACAGTTCTGTTCAGGTGGTAGAAGGATTGGACAATACGGCGCCGGATGTTGTCCCGATGGATGTGGACTAGACAGTGAGGCAAACAAGTGGCTTTTGTGCATTTTCATTCAATTCATATCGATCTATAAAATGGCTAAAAGATGTTATGATACGACTTCGCTCTATTTCGAATGCTGCTGGAGTTTGCGCTGTTTGTCACGCTCAGCCTTTTCAAGCTCGAAGCGCTTGAGATCAAGACGCTGTAAAAATTCCTGCCTTTCAAGATACCCATCCTTAGTGTAGTGCGTAAGTTCATCCTCAATCCCTTCCTTCTCTTTAAACTTGTCCCAGTCAAGCGACGTTTTCACCATTGTCGACACCTTTTTCGGCTCATCGAGCGACTCCAACACCTTATCTAGACCTTTTTTTTCCCGCGTACCACTAGCAGCACTTGCTACAGTGTACTCTTTTCCAGCAAACTTGATTATTCGATCCATTTTGCGATCAATCACAGTTTCCTCTGCCAAGTCTTTCCTCGACCTCTTAACGTCCACGCTTAAAATGGGTATGGAAAACTCATGCAGCTTTTGTTTCTTCTTCTTATCGGCTAAGCGTGTTGTTTTTTTAATGAGACCATTGAGAAGCTTTGAGGTCTTGATTGCTGCCGTCTGTGAGACCGAAGTAGACGCATTCATGTCATCCCAAAGTTTGTCCAAATGAGAGTCAGTTGTACCGCTGCGATGCTCGTCCATCGCTTTGCTTGTATTTATCGAGTCACCATCCTGCTCTTCGTCAGCTAACCAGTAAATTTATGGTTAGAATAGTCATGGAAGAAGCTGCCTGAGATGAAGGCACCTTCAGGAACGAAGTCGTCATCACTCTCATCAGACGAACTGCCCATCGCCAATACGTTGATGTGGTACACTAATATATTTATATCTAGGGGTTTGAAATTGATAACTACTTACTATGCAAGCAAATAGCTACACCTAGAAGAATTAAAACCATGCCAGTATATGTTGCTAAAACATGATACAAAACCGAAAGAGATAGATTATTATTTAGTGTGATACTTAAAATGGATACACGTACATCTAGGGCGTTGAGGCTTTTCCCCGAGGAGACGACTCGTGATTGCGGTGAACACGAACGTAAGCGAGTTGGAAATTGGAACAGCATTTGAAATATCTATGCAGAACCAAGAAATTACACAAATATCCGCAGCTGTAATTATATTCTAGCATTTTGATGAAATTTCAGAGAAGATCGCACCTACTGATCCAAGTAGGTAAACGTATACCACAGACCCACTCTGATTCAGAGCAAATGGTACCAGGAACTACAGCAAGACAATTAAGTCTTTAAAGCTTAATGGTGATCTGATTCTTGGATCTTACCTGCCAGTTCTTGACTAACCCCACAAATTGCTTGACGAACTCTTCTATACTATTGTCCTTACGAGTGTACATCACGTTATCATTACTTCCTGGAAGAATACGTTCAGCAAATACGTCAGTACGTTTCTAATGAATGCGCTGGGTATAAGTGTTTTTGCCTCGCTTGATAAGTGGATTGGTGCAGCCCCAAAGCGCCCCCACAAAGAGAAAGGATAGCAAAGTCGAGACCGGGGTATTCATGTTACGTTTCTTTACAAACCGGTAATTTTCGGGCGAGCTAATAAATGTAGTGCTGTATACAAATCGTAATTGAAAATTCAAAGAAAATTGCATAAAAAAGAAACATTCGAGGATGCGGCAACAGAAAAAGTCTAACTAGCACACTAATAAACCAAAACTGACAGTGCACGATTAAACAAAGTTCATTATGCTTCAGCAAATGAATTGGTCGCTGACTGGCTCGAGAAATATTTTTTTCGTGGATATATAGTCGATGCTAGGAGTCGGCAGGCTGACCAAGGGTGCCGACGAATGTGGCAGACTTTATCCGTTGACACTTTTTATCAGTATATAGAGCTTGCTGTGCCGTATGTCTTTTCCCTACCGAGATGACCACTCTATACAGATCAAGTGATTCTGTATCTGATGCTTTAGCATGAGGCACACCTATACTGCATGTTTTGTGAGTCAGTGTAGAAATACGCTTTGATGTAGCGACATTTGGGCCTTAAAAACGTCTTACTCCCGAAGGTAAAGCAGTGCAACACGTGTTGTGTTTTGTACGAGTCGTCACACGTATTGGCGACGACACCATCCCGACATGCGACAATCTGTAGCCGGAGCCACGCAAAAAAAGCGCCCCGCTACCCCAATAATCCGACCCGGGTTATACCTTACCACTCAGGCCAACTCGGTAGAGAAGGGGAGGCATCATGCCATTTCTGTGAGATACGTGGCAACCATCGTGTTAAGTCTATCAACAAAAACGAGTACCCCATTGTGGCCGTCAGCATTCTCGTGAAAACCAAAAAAACTCGAGACCGACTGACTTCCAACAGGCAGTAGGAACAGGGAGACTCTGCAGTGATACTTGCGTGTGCCATGCGCTCTTCACGCGCTGACAGACATCGCATGTCTTCACGTATCGTTCCACCCACTTGTACATGTGAGGCCGCCCAAATTGGGTACTGAGAGACTTGTAGGTCTTCTCATGGCCAAAGTGACCGGCAATCGGCGTATCATGCATCTCAAACACTATCTAGTACTTCAAATCCTCGTTGTGGGGAAACACAATCCGTGGTCCATCGTCACGCGCAACTTCATAGTGAAGAAGTCTATCCTTCCACGCATTACGATGCAACCTTATTTTCAAGCGACCAGGTAGCTTGTCATGAAATTTCACATCACTCGATGACAAAGCTTTGATGATCAGATCACTCTGTTTGTTCTCAGCATACGCTCGACGTATCATATCGAAAACATTGAATTCGATATTACTGATATGAGCTAACTCACAATCAGGACGACGTCACAATGCGTTCAATTTCCATGGCTTGTAGGCGATCATTAAGCTGTCTTCTGCGATGAATGATAACCAGCAAGACATTCGCTGTGAAAAGTGAGGCGACTGAACCGCATAACGTAAGCTTGCATGATCCGTGTACACGACAAACGGAGCTGAGCCCAAGAGATGAATCCGAAAGTTTACCAGAACCTATTTTATGGCTAAAAGCTTCCTGTCGTGGACAGGGTAGTTCCATTCTGCTGGCTTCTGCTGTCGCGATTAAAACGACTCGACATGACCTTTTGCAATAATACACAACCTCAGAAGCGCCACACACCACGCTATACGGCTTGGAATCATCTGATAAAGCAAGTAATGGTACTTTCATTAAGCTGATCTTAATTTGAGTGAGTGCGTCTATACAACTGTATGACCACTCCCATGGTACGTCCATCTTCAGCATGGTTGATCGCTGTGCACAGCAACGCATGATGTATGCAGATCAAAAATGGCGAATACCCCCCCCAATCTTGATTTCAACGCGAGTAGATCCTTGTCATGAAGGAGTAGCTTTCTTGCCGCTTTTACATTGGCAAAACTTAACCTTTATGAAGCATTTACGCCTATTGATACTTGCTTAACTTACAGCACAACCTATGGTAAATACTGAAGCGTCACAGAACGCTTGAAATGGCTGATCCGGATCTGAAATGGTCAGAATCGCGCACTTATGTGAGTTTTTTCTGCAGCCTCATAGGGCCCAATTTTGTACTGCACTCCAGCACCATTTGACCATTATCGAATAAATCAGTAAGGGGTCGTGCCATTCGCGGGACCTACTCGTATACCCCAATTCGAAATGAATGATTTAGAAATTTTTTGACGGCTTCAATACACATTCGAATTTATGGCAAACAATTGTAGATGTTCACATTCGATTTTCTGAGTGCCGTACGGCTACCGATGAGTTAATCGTCGAAATTCAATTGAGCTTATGGGCTTGATGTGGCTTCTACAGAAGCGTGGCCGGACGATTAGACGTCACAAATCGGACGGTCTCAGGGGCATGATCAGCTTTTTCAGAGCATCTAGCTAACCACTCTCATCGAAACGAGAGCATATACACTGCTTCTCATGATAAGATGATAATGACCTAACACTAGGGATAAAGTTCTGAACACGGTGCATTCTACTTTGTTGTTCTGCAGCACACGCTTGCAAATTATCGAAATTTATGCCAGACTAGTGGCAGCTGTAAGCGTATAATTAGGATACACTATTCGCCACTTACCATTCTTTTTTCTATAGAAAAGTCGGTGCCGAATGGAGAGATGAACTCTCTCATTAAATGGCTTTACGCATGGCAACGAAGAACTGTCTGTAACGTCGCACTACCCTCTTGCTGAGAGACATACACTAGGTCAATTTAATGCCCAAATCCTGCATCTTTGGGCAATACCCGCGGTGGTACCCTCACCATCACGTTCTATTATTCTTGCGATCAGCGAAACAAGACGTAACAGCAATTCCCCACGTCCGGCACCAGTTTTCTACAAGTGTCGGAAAGATGGCCTTTTTACGTCGGTTATGATTTTAACTTCTCCTCCGGTACAAGCTGTACACTTTTGGCGACATCACCGTCTTGCAAAAATTTGTTGCATTATTTGAGGAGTCTTATCAAGCTTGATCAGAGCATATGCCGGAGTAACCGAGAGAAGTTTACAAACGCTAGTACATTCATGGCCACAAATTTCACGAGCAAGAGAATTATGTGTCACACACTCGTGGAGCTTCTCTGCTCTTCAAGACGCGTGCGTCACATGGCACTGCTGACTCCATTGTGACGAAACCTGATCATATACTTGTCCATACCCTTTAATTTACGACTATCAGTGTCCGTTTGCATTGGCTTCGGCACCGTAGACCAGGATACACAATCACTCTTGCTTGTCTGCACCGACTTTTGGTCAGAACATTGCGAGACAAGTTTGCTCGTACATGTATTTACAGGCTCTGGGCAGCAAGTTGCAACACACAGTTGCTCTTTATCATCTCCACCAGATCTAAGACAGATATTTCAACTTAATGTAGTGTATTGGGGTGGTAGGCCATTACACAGTTTGAGTGTTACATACTTAGTCACTTTAAACTTAGTTTGCACTCCACTAATTAGTAGGATGTTACAATCAAGCACTTTTATTGCTATTTTAGGTCACGATTAGGATTATCTATAATTACTTCAGCCTTCATTAGATCAAGAGATCCACAAGCTTTGTAGTTTAATGGGCGCGTATGGCAGCTACGGAAGAAGACCAAGCCTCAAGGTAAAGCTGCCTTAGCGCAATAGTGCGTGTAACCAGCTGTCTCGATACATGCAGTGACCAAACATTGCATCAGCCAGATATACACTCTGAATACACGACATAACTTTGCTCATGCCTTCCTCCACCATGATACAAAATAATGGCATTGAAGAACGATTGGCAACTTTTTGTCTCGAGTAGTGATCGCAGCTTGCATCTGCTTATTGCTTTTACGAAATGCGCAAGGGAAAAAGCGACTTCGATTCGGACAATCTCGTGGCCTCACTGAGGCCATATAAGAATCGAGCCCGACAAATCCGCGATTCTGCTTCTTAGCTGTCGTGGGTATACTACTTACCAATTCTCCGCCTAACGAGAAGTGTGAGGTATCCATATATATGTACATCCAGTCGATATGTGTCTTATGACGGTTTTTCTTCAGCCACATCATACCAAAGATGATATCCTGCATCGAATCCACGGCCACAGTGCGTCGATGTACCATGCTGTCAGCGTCCTTAAACATTATTAGTCACGAATGGGCTTTCGGAGCTTTTTCTAGTGTTCATGTCGCAAAATGCAAGGATATCGTATCTGCATTTTGTATCTCTACTACCCCCGTGCACTGTCTACGTTCAACATCGTTTATATGTGATGTTGTCAATCAGCAGTTTCAGGTCGTTGTTTCATCATTTTATGGCGAGCGAGTCAACATTTGAAAGGCTGGGCTTCTGTGACCCCAACATCAGAGAGTACAAAAAACTAAGTTCTGGTCCAGTATGACGCCATGCACATTGGAAGGCTTCACGTTAATAAACGACAGGACGTTGGACGGTACTGCGGGTGAGCGCGACCCCTCCTACCTCCTAGCCGAGAGCAACGAAGGAGCGCAGATAATAAATGTCTAGTACTACCATCAACATAAATTTGGCGGTGCCGCTCGGCAGCTTAAGTGGCTTCCTCTTATTGCTCAGCAAATCCAGGGTCTGTCGACTATGCTGTCCTCGTAGATTTTCCACGTAAGTGAAGGCGGATTTCAACTTCATCATCAATGCAGAAACAACTGCTTTCTTAAGAAGTTGAACGAGCACGGAAGGTTGTGATATCGGTCACAACTGTTCGGCGATCATTCGCGAAGATAGAACCTGCTCCGCCTCCAAAAGAGCGTCTGCTACAATTGATCGAGAAGAGATCGTTACCTCTGGAGATAGTATGGTAATTATCTCTTTCCTTTGAGCCGACAGTGATTCAGTAGCTCTGGTAACAGTAATTTCGCATCCGATACACCTCATCAGTCAGTATAAACGCTCGTGACAAATGTCGCGTCAGCTCTACTCATATCGGAAATGCTTTGATTACTTAAAGAATGCATATGAATAAAAGATCACTTAGGCTTGCAACCTTGTTGAGGTGAGACCGCTAACGCTGCAAGCTGGTACTCTGACAAGAACATGGCTGAGGTCATGGTGATCCCTGCCTGTCATGCCCAGAGTGGAAATTATCTGTCCTTGTCCCTTAAGGGCTGAAAGCGCTTAACATAAGCAGCCTCACGGGCAGATTCGTATATGCTTCCACTGGCACCTATATGGGCCCCTCCTAGATATTTCTCACAGGCACGTCCTCATTGATAATGAGCGTACTAGCAAGATCTTACCATTTCTGGCCCTTAAGTTGTCATTTGCGTTGCATCCCGGGACCAAACAGATACATGACGTTAAAAAGCGTGTCGAGTCATACTGATAAACAGATAATCCACCAATAAGATTTAGATTATTACGGTCTGATTGTCAGATTAAGGACAGGTGCGCCATACTAAGTGGAAGCTTTGACTTCAAAAGACATTGATAATGATGCGCCGAGGATGGGTCCGATCGAGCGAACCGGAAATATTAAAAGTAATAAAAATTTGACCTATACTAAATTTACTTATTTTGCTATGTTTAATCAAGAACGCTATATGCACCGCATGACGTGAAACTCATGACTCTCGGACCTCGACGTTACGGACTCTATCATTTCTCATGAAAGCCTGAACTTTGTTACATTTGAGCTTTACACATAATTGTTTTGAGTCCCCACACCATAACACGATACGCTACATAGATTATTAACAAACTCGCTGACTTGGGCACTTCAAATAGAGGCATATGATGCGGTGCCTTCAAAGCTGGTGAGTGCCATTGAAGTACACGCGTTCTAGGTGTCGGGGCGAATTACAGTCACAGTTGAAGCACATAGCCATTACTGATGGCTTAACTTTTTTAGTGTCAAGAGTAGTTTGTCGTACACTGAAGTATTATCACTACTTCATGTTTCAATGCATTCTGATGCGCTGCGAAGCCTTGTGCATGGCCAGACAATCGCAAAGAATGCGACAAATTTTCCGATGCTCGTTAAAGCGTGCAAATCAAGCTAGCTGACATCAGTAGGGCTGGTAAACGATATTACTATTTCTGTTTCCTATGCACCATAGTCTAAACCTGAAGTTTGGAGCATTCTCCGCAATAAAATTGGACAGGTGGGAACTTCATCATAGACTGCATGCATGTCGTAGCTTTAAAAGTATGAGCTTTCAATCGATTGGTGAGCTGAAACTACAAAAGATTGTCGTTTCGGCAAATCAGGTAAGTGGTGCGACATTTATATTAATATCGTCGTGTTATGCCTGCGAACTGGAATCCACGCATCTTGCTTGATCTAGATAGTGTCCTTGGCTCACTATTACACTTTGATATCAATAATTTTGCCGAGGGCTTGCAACTTAAAATGAGTATGGATGACGTATGCACATACTAAGGGTTTTATATCGTCTTTTCAACGTCCAACAACTTGGCTTCAAAATTGATGTTTTTCTACCGCGCCGGTGATCTTTGATCAGTTCCCACTCGATTGGTTTTTCTTTGTCTCAGCAATCAAAATCATGTACGTTTTTACGCGATGTGTGGCGTTTTTAAATGTCTAATCGCGTTCAAAGCACATTTCATTCGACCAACTTTTTCGTGTTTTGAGGGGCATTCTCCTTGCATCTATTTTGTGATTCTGTATCGCATCAAGCAAACTCAAAGCGCATCGTACAAAATGCTAGATACATTATCTCGCAATGTTTTGGCTTGTATCAATTCTCGGGACGTGCTTCGTGTAACTCTGAATATATCAATATAGCACTTGCTGATACTGTTACTATGCCGCTGCTGTCCCTATTCACTGATTTGTAACGTCCAAACTATCCGCATGAAGCTTTCATTATGCTGTGTCGACAAGTAAAACGGTAAGCGCTAACCCTGAATTTGTATCATGTTGCTTGTCTGTACTAGAAAAGTTTACAAAATATACTTATTTTTCTAAATGGCTATCGCTCTAATACCTTTGGCATGAGATTCAATGCTAACTGGTCTTAAACCGTCTACTCAATTAAAATTGGAAGTTATTTTACCGTTTGATGGATGATACCGTATTTTCATTCCTGAATTTTATGAGGCACTAATTATTATCGTCCAATTTAGCGCAATTTATTTTTTTGGCGACGACTCCAACCACACATGCGACATCCAGTTAGCACTTCTATGACGAGTGCGGCAACAAGCTCAAATTCGTGTATCCTTGTGACGTTATCTCAGACGTCACAGAGACTTTTAAACTGAATTGTGAAGAAACCTTCACTTGGCACATGGTAAATTTGCGTTGTAGCTAAAGTATCAAAACTTTTTATTCGTGATCTGATTACAATAAGAACATCATTCTTTCTCATCTTAAAATCTGGCGCACCATCAGACGCCAGGTCGAGACAAGGTGCCTTGTCGTTGACGGTTAAGATGTTCTCTTAGTACACATCAAGCGGGTATGTCAGCCTCACGAAGCAAACGCCTGTCATAATTTACGTAACGCACAACACCCGCGCGGCGCAGAAGAATCATATGCTTGTTGCAAATTAAACGCGAAAAATACATTTTGCAATTTGGCTCAAAGAGGGGATGTGGCAACAGTTTTAATGCTATTGCTGTCTATGTACGTGCTACGTAGCGCTAAACGATGCTACGGCTACCGAAGTCCAATTTTAGGACTGCTGTCTCGAGTTGATGTTTCTCTGATTGAGATTGTACCGGCAAGTGGAGCTGCAACATAGGACTACGCTGCCATAAGCCAAGCAAGACAACTGGAAGATGCCCAAATAAAGAGCAATGTTATAATGTGAAAGCTTAAGTCTATCGACTGTTATGCACACTTTATTAGAATCAGAACAAGCAGCTAAAAATCTATTAGTGCGGGGGCTGGTTTATAGCGTTAGCAAGCCCCTGTGACCTTCAAGACGTCAAGCCCTTTAACTAATTTGACGTCCATCATAATGAAGTGAATGATGCAAAATTTTATCAAAGGGAATCGGAAAACTAACGGCTCAAGGGCTAGATGCGGTAATTGGTGAGGCGCCTACAAGAGCGCCCCAAGCAGGCATTGGTGGGAGCACAATAGTACCAACCGTGAGGCCGCTGACGTTGACCATGGGCATATGTGTCATTTTGCTCTCAATTGTATGATCTTTATAAGGAGGCTGTAGAAATGTAAGAATTGATGTAATTTACTATATGTACTGTGCTGTGATGTTGACAATCTCTAAGCGGCGCGCATGTTGCTGGTTTAACAGGAAGCCAACATCTTCATATCACGCTAGCTCCTTTGGCTCCGTGTTCTTGCTTCATTTTTATTCATACGCTAGTGCAGCTTCTCACTTGTAATCATCTACTTGACGTGGGTCGGCGGGCGATTGCCCATGCCCACGCGGTCGGAGTAGAGCTTTTATTCTAACAATAACAGTTTGAATTTTAGCCAAGATTTTGTGAAATGACCGGCAATTTCCTACAGTGATGGGTCTAAAATGCACGTTTCGCGCACAGTAGCCAAACAATTGGTGGTGAAGGCAGAGTTTGTGGTCTTGATCAGCTTGCACATGTTACTACAAATCTCAATACGAAGCAGTACATGATATGGTAGAATTAAAATACAGCAAGAATACACGTCCGGTTTGTGCGAGGAAGGTATCAACACACGCCTGGTGTCCCATGTAGGGCACGATTCACTACACTCTAAAAAGAGCAATTCTTTATATTGTCCAACCTCTTGATTGTTTTCACGCTCAATCGTCCTCTTAGAAACGCTAAGGATCACTCGTATCAGGTAATGACAACCGTATGTGCAGGCCCAAAGCTGGTATTTCGCACATGAAAAATCTATATCTCAGCGTCACGCTAACGCAGCTTTACGTGTGAGTCGTTCGCCGAAAGAAACTTGATAGTTACCAATTTACTAATGTGCGACACGAATCAAGCAAGCGGTTTGCATTTGTACAGTTGTCGCGGATACCATCCGTATTCAATGCACGTTTTATCCGATCATTCCTTTTTAGACTTTCAAGCCAATGTCGTCATGGTTTGCGTTAGCTATCAAAACTTGTTTTAGGACGTGAAGAAGATGTGAACATGTAGATGCAAATGGGTTATGTCCTGGCGCACGAAGTGCCTCAGATTATTTTCTCTTCGAACTGTTTAAAATATCAAGCATTAGTTCTGGGTTTTTTAGGCAATCAACATTTTCAGTAGTGCAACGAAGTGAGATCAATCGTAGACGAACCTTATACAAGTCATACAAGATAACTGTACATTGAATGTGTATTTAACGCAAATTCAATGCCATGTATACATATGCGCTTTATGCACGATAGAATTGCTGTCACTTAAATAGATTGCGTTTTGCGTCAAAGAGATCGCTATAACATCGCAAAAAAATTGTTTGGCTCCACCGAGAAGCAGATCTGAAAGCTTTTGAGGAAATCAAGTACTTTCTTACCCATCTATTTCTAATGAGGCATACACGTAGAACTCGGTTTGATTCGAAATGTTACAAAGATAGTGATAGTACTTTACTGCGACGAGTATACCATTTAAGGTGGTGGATTATGTCATAATGACTGTCTAACATACCAGCGACACTCAAACGTCTGGTGGTTCATTTGCTCAGACCGCTTCGCGCATGTGCAAATACCTATTTGACTCTATATTAATTAATAAATATATGGAGCACGGGTGGAACCCCATAAAAACACTGACAAGCATTGATCTAGTGTATGTGCTTAATCAGCTGTCCGTCAATTTAGACAAGTATGACCTATGGGTATTTCTTGCATAAAGTCATAGCCATTGTAGATTATCAATGCAGCTGTCTCAAAGAGACTTATGAAGTGGATTGAAGTGACCAGCTTCCTGCACATGTATAGTGCAAATTATGCCTTCATTGCACGGTCCCTCCCCAATCTACTTAATTAGGATGTCAAATTGTGCTGTGGTATGGCAGAATAGGCGGTCTTCAAGTCAGTAAAAGAAAACATAACCAAACTTTTCATGAATCTAGATCAGCCATTCCATGTTTCGGTCTTTGTCATAGGATATTCCATACTCCAAGTAGACACCAATCGGCATATACGCATCGTCGTGTTTGAGTCTCATCAGATTATGTGGCAGAAAGAGAGTATTCCGTTAATGACAAAAGTCTAATTGCTATGAACTTTGATCTTGTCAAGTCCAGGGTACATCTGCTTGGTGCCAAGCCATTCGTGGTCTACACAGATCATGCGTCGTTACGCACAGCGACGTCGTTACCCCATCTTCCGCAAAAATAGCAAATGTCTTATCTTCTATGCCAAATATTTAAAATATATATATAAGCTGGGTCAATTTTATGATGTAATAGATGCGCTTTCGCGTCGCTTCGACTATAAATTGCCGCGATCGCGATCGTGACGTCGCGCATTGTTGAGGCGATACTATTTGCGAATAAGTCTTGCACAACATGTTTTGAGCTGTTGACCGCTTTGGAGAGCATGAAGCTTTCGAACTCGATTGCCGCTTAATCAAAGCATCTGACCGCGCGTGGAACAACTATCTTCGTCTATAGGCTTGCTGTATTAAGGCATCGACCGCTCGACCTTGAACACGTTGTGGGACCTCACGACGAAGTTCTCGATTACAGTATACTGTTCAAAACAGGAAGAAAAAGGACATACTGTTTGGGAGGCATTGTGCATGATCAACGAAAAAGCACACGTGCTTGCGCGTGCAAAACGTGTCAAACTTGCTTTCGTCGCATGCTTCGGTGTTATCAGCGTTATTGGCAAGTCCGTAGGGTCCGTAGGCTCCGGTCGAAAGTAAGCAGTCAATTCGAATATATATCATTTTAGGTCTTTCGACATTCGCGTCTGGTAGTACCGATATTGTGGTCATAATGATCCGTCTAAGAAAATTGGCTCAGTTTAGGTGCTGTCAGAAACACCGTTGCCGTTGAGGATAGAGCCAAATCGTTTTCGGCAATGTTTTTTTGCCAACATAGCTTGCCAGTATACTTTGATACGAATTAAGATTGCAGAAAGTTGACAAACGTTTTCAAAGTACTGGGTACCCGATTGAACATTTTGCTAACCATCCACAGACAAGGGTCAGACAAGATACTATAATTGCGTGGAGGACAACGCTTGCGCGGAATGGCTTCGGTGCTGGAGTGAAAGGCTACCAATTATCAATTTTGATTTAATTTACGTGTGTATATTTGCTACAGGCTTTATCCAATTTTATAGAAATGGGTTGGCTTACCCCTGTTTTTCTCGGTAGCGCTGCGAGTGGCTTCAACAATAATAGTCTCGACGTTTAATATTAGCCCAGCTTCATTTTATTTTTTTTCAGATTTGATCAACATACGTCGAGTGGTCGACGTTATGGCCAAGATCCAGAATATGCCAAACAAATATGCAGATGCCAAAAGCAGACATAAAACAAATGTTTTGAGATTTGTGAAAAGTTTTCATCGAACGCGTTTAGCCTTTCTGCCTTTGCAGTGTCTTGTCAATCAGATTAAATCGCGACCTCGCATGATTGGACCGTTGCCGGCCGCAGCTAGTAAGTGGTAGGGTTGATCTATACTTTTCATATATCAAAGATAATGCGAACATCCTACGTTTTACATGGGCTTGCTGAAACCATACCACGACGTCACTTTTACGATCCAATGGGATCTGGACCGCTGAATCGAAGGCAAATTGACATCTTTTGCTGTTCTACCATCAACCCGAAGTCCTAGTTACGGCCTTAACTTGCATCAAGTGCCTCAAGCTACTCTGTTTACGATGCCGTAGCTCAAAGAGCGCATCCCAGTCAGTCCAGTATCGACCACGTGTCTAGTTTTTGAAAAGAGTCAGCGTGTCGCCATAATCAACAAAGCTCACAAGAGTAAGGAGAGGACTGTCCTTCACCGGCACTGATTGATGAGTAAGGGGTGACTCACTCTAAAGTAAAAATGAGCTGGCTGGTACATAAAATCTGACTCACTAATCGGTGAAGTAAAAGAAATACCCTCTCTGCAGAAATCATGGCCCACTTTAACGAATTTGTCATGGCGCCGCTGCTGCTGCCGACCTGACGCACCCTCTGTCCTTTTTCTCCAGAAGAGTGCCATGTTCACTCAGCACACCAGGCTTTCTACCAGCGAGTGGGACCTGACCTTTTTCCAAATTTGAGACTGAACCGGCAGCGGTGATAGTAGCCTCATGGAGTTGAGCAGGGCTGTTGACATCAAGATCTTATGGTGAAGAGCTTCACTTTGCGCCCACGTTGTGCTTTGTACATCGCAAAGACACACATTATTCCACGTTCCATTCAGACGTCTATGATACATAATATATCTCGTAAAGCTGTAAATCGGGTACGGCAACGTCCCTTTCTCACCTAAGGCACAAATTGCGTGCGATGTTCTCGCCGGTTTCAATACCCAACGTACGGCCTCATGGGGGTTACGGATTCACGTGATCGCGCTGCGTTAAGCGTTGATGGTAGTGTAACTAGTGGCATTCTGAGGGATCAAAAGTGCTTGAGAGGGAGCTCTTGATCGCTTATTTAACGTCTTGATAGAGCAGAAGTCCGCAGGCATAGAAGTCAAGAGGTCCAGTCTGGCGCGGCGAGCAGCTTCGGATGGAATAATCAAAAATCTCAGAATGTACATTCCTAATCGTACAATACGTATCACATTGCGATAAAAGCAGACAAGCTGGGATTGCTACCCAGGTCTTCCTCATTAAGAGCGGGCAAGATGTCGTCGTTAATTTTATGGCGGAAGCTGGTAGCACATTCCGCTGTCAGAAGTGAGCCCAAAGTGCGCAGCTGGTGAAGCAGAGAGGCAGAGCGTTGGGAGCACCTGATCCACAGTGAGCGGTTGTACCTCATGTCTTTCAAGAAGGAGAAATATTTTCGGTGGGTTACAATGACCTTGCTCGACGGAGATCACCACAGCTGCATCATTTATACTGTCTCATATGTTGTTGGTCACGGTGTTCTGTCTCTCTCAGAAGTGTACGTGAACTTTGAGACTTCCATGCGGGTGATGCTCTTCGGGGCAGAAGCAGTTGCTAAACTGGTCGGATAAGAATTCCTGACGCAACGTTTGCTCCTGAAGCGCTCACTTTCGCGCGATATTCTAAGTCGATAATTATACCCCGATGTGGTGAACATTTTGGATGAAGAGTTTGTGGAAGCGTAGTAATCATATTTTAACGAACGTGCACCTTACACTATTGTCAACGTTTCACCACGGTGAAGTATTATAAATAGTTCTGGTCGTGTGATGGTATGGATAGCATTTATTTATTTCCTTAATACGATTTGGTGATAACTAATTCTGTATTCACCTAAATAAAATTTTGAATTTTATACCACTTAAATGACACCCGGATTCCTCCTCTGAGTGAGGAAAGGTGAGACGGCCATAAATTTGCCATGTGTCAAACAGAGCAACAATGTGTTGGGCTTGCGGGTTGCAAGCTATGAACCCGCAAAGTAGAATGAGCACTTAAATATAGTCCATCAGTAAAATAGGCGTACAGAATATCGGAACCGTGTTATGGTGAGCGCACTTACTATGCTTCTCATAGGCTCAGAAGCGCCAAC